TTGAATGATTTGAACGTAAAGCATGTAAGATTGAATCGACAATGGCCCCGGTCCGAGGTGAACCGAGGTGAAGAGCCGTGATGGGCTTTTACGTGTTGCTTAATCAAGTTTTTTCAGTTCGGAGAGAGATAGATCCCCGTACAAATGTCATGGGTGCACTATTTATAGTAATTTTGGGCTGATACATGGGGATCCGTGCATTGCTTTTTTGAATAAAGTAGCTTTTGGTGGCGGTTCGGAGCTGTGGGTCCCGCATGAATGATGACAAATCTCGTAGAGTGTGATGGGTGTGCGTATGCGCCTTGTCACCTGCTTGAGGAGGTGATGACCTCGGTTTGAATAGTCCTCGGTGATGAGGAGGTGATGACCTCGGTTCGAGTAGTCCTTGGTGAACCTTAGTCACTTCGGTTTTTGGTGGTTCAGACCGGTTCTTTTGTGTAGATCGGTGCGGTTCTGATTCACGTCGGTTTAACAGTTGACCGCATTTAACAAGTTGCTTAAACCCTCTTAACGGTGTCTTGCCGAGTCGGATGATAACAATTTTCATTATGTTAGAGGTTATAAATTATTGTATTATAGATTATAATGATTATGGTATAAATTAGAATTTATTACTATTATGTTAGAAGTTAGAAATTATTATGGTATAGATTAGAATTAATAGCCTTATGAAGTAATATCTAGTACTACTATGTTAGAAGTTAAAAATTATTATGGTATAGATTATTACTATTATAAATTAGAATTTATTACTATTTTGTTAGAACGCTTTTCCTACTATAATATTCACACGAATCATATAACTCTGAGAAAAGTGTCAAACAATCTTGTCGTAAAATTCGGTCAAATCATACTGAATTAATCGGTCTCAATAAATTGCTCTAACAGAATCCGATTTTTTTCGTTCAATTTTTTATTTAAATATTGGTATGTAAGAATTTCAAATTTAAGTCAGAATATTATTTTGTATTTTAAAATTTATTACCGAGTTGAAAGGAGCGGATTTAAGAAAAAAAGGGAACTACAATTTTTAATAGCATCACTCATTAATATTTTATTAGAGATAATTAGTATTATTTTATATACCATAATAATTTATGAGTTCTAACATAATAATAATAAAATTCTATAAGATAATTAGTTATAATTTATAATTTAACAATTTCTAAATTCTAACAATGAGATATTAAATTTTAAATTTATAACATAAATATAAATTCTAATATAATGTATATAATTAAAAAAAATGATTTAAAAAAAAAAATTGGCCGGCCAGCCGGCAAAACCGGCAGTGTATGATGCGGCCAACCGGGAATAAAGGTTGCGCATGGTGCGGACAACTGGGAATAAAGGTCGCGCATGATGCGGCCAACCGGGAATAAAGGCCGCTCATGGTGCGGCCAACATGGAAAGAAGGTCGTGCACGGTGCGGCCAACATGGAAAGAAGGCCAACATGGTCACGGCCGCGATTCCAGGCCGGCTGCCCAAAAAAAAAAAAAAAAAATTAATATTACAAAAGGCGTAAAATTGTCTTTTAGGGGGCGATATTTAGTAAAAATGGGGCGGTATTTAGTAAACCCTATTTTTAAATTACGAAATGGTCATGCATTAATCAAAAGATTAATGATTAATCATTGCCAACATTATATCATCATACTTCAAAAACCCGATGTTTTACTAAATTGCAAATAAATCTCAACTTATTTAAGTTTGCCATCAAATTTTCAATCTTTGTGTTGCATGTTAAGCTCCGATAAGTTTTCCGACTTATTCCTTGTTGATGTGTGCGAAGTGATGATATGTCCCAACAACAAACGACATGTCGTTTATGACTTTAAAAAATAAATATATTCATTTCCACTTCATAATTCCTTTATTTCTTAAACACTTCCCAATTCCCAAAAAATTTCCCTCTGCAACCCTAATTCGAGATTTTTCATTCCCAAATGAGGAGCTGGAAAAATTGAGAGCCAATATCAACAGAAGAAGCAACGAGAATGGCGAACATTCCACAAATCGCAATTTAGGACTGAAGAGGGAAAAAAAACCAGGATGTGGAAAAAGGAAGAAATTATGAAGTGAAAACGAATATATGTTTTTAAGACATTAAAAGTCACGCCGGGTTGTTACCGGAATATATCATCAATTCACCGGACACATCATCAAAGAGGATGTCGGAAAACCAATCAGTGCTTAACACGCAACACCATTAAAAGGTTGGAATCTAATTGCAAACTTAAAAAAGTTGAGATTTATTTGCAATTTAGTAAAAGATCATGGTTTTTGAAGCAATTATGCCCATTATATCAGAAAATATCTTGCTTTCAAAATATTATAAATATATTATGCAATATAAAAATATATTATTCACAAAATATAATCTTATTTATCAACATTAATAACAAATCACTGCGATTTCTTATTCATACAATAAAATTAAATATATTCATATTAAAATCTGTTTAGTACAAAATAATCTAAAATAATAATTTATATGTTTATCCCTCATGGATTGAGAAAAAAAAAAATTAATGCTAAAAATATAAGTACAAAATTACTTCTAGGATTGTTTATATACGATATTAAAATGGTAAACCAAATGATCATTTTCTGAACTATCATGTAAATTATTAGATTATAAAGAATCAAAATATTTATTATAATAAATTATGATAATTCAATGAGTCATTTGTGACATGCAAATTATAAATTTAGAAAGAAAAATCTAAATATTTATAATATCTATTGTTACAAATTATGATGACATCTCAACGGATCATTTATATCCATGTAAATATTAACTTAGAAAAAAATATTTATAACGTATATTGTTATAAACTGTAATGATATACCAACAAGTGATTTATCGAATAACGATGTAAATTTTTATATCAAAATATTTATAATGTATACTTTTATAAATTATAATGATAAATCAACCGTTGTCGTATTGCCATAAAAATTAATCAATTAAAAAATTAAAATAATTATAATATTCATTATTATAACTTATAAAATATAAAAATAACATAATATTGATTTAATAAAAAATATTAAATTTTGTAACTTCAAATTAATATATATTACAGTATTTTTCAATTAAGTGTTGGTTATAATATTTGACACAATTTTTCAACCTTAGCATAACTTATTTAGGAATCGAAAGTAAGTATGAGTAGGGGAAGATAGAGAGATAAGTGTTATGTGATTATTATTTATTGATAATATTTGAATGTGTTAAATTTTTATTATCCTTAATTTTAATTTAATATTCTAAAACTACAGTTGGCGAGTGAAAGAAACGTATAAGTCATATATGAAACTATTAAAATCATACAATAAATAATAATATCAAAAACTATTTTTATACAAATCAATATTTCATTATGGTGTGATACATGCAATTTATAATTATTACTCCGTGAATTGCACGTGCTACGTAGTAGATTTTGAATTATGGTTATTTTTAATTAAGGATAATATTTTAATATGCATAGATAAAATTACATTTTCTTTTGTACTCATTTTAAAGTTTTATATGAACTAAATTGACCTATCTTCATGGCAACGGGCGAGGAGCATAATGTAAAAGTTGATAAGTTTGAACAATTGACAATAATGTCAAATTAAATTCGGTAAGTTATAAATCATGACCATTATATATTTATCAACAATTGAACAATTGATTTTCCTTTCCAAGTTGAATCATATATTCATATCCCCCTCCCATATATATTAATACGGAATGCGCTGAGTCTACGTGGCTGCTTCTGGTGTTTCGGAATCCTATTTGGCAAAATTACATACTTCTTGAGTAAATTTTAATTTAATTCCAAATAAAAAATAATTAGGTTCGGATTACCATAAATATGTTGATTATTTATGGTCATGTTACATGTATTAATTGTATTTTAATATCATTCCTTATTTTAACTATTGAATTGTATATATATTTTAAAAGTTAATAAACTTTTGTATTTTTTTTATCAGTTTTACATATGTAATATATGAAATTAATCTTCTTTTAATGAACTTCGATTTAACATCTATATTGTATGTATAAAAAAATAATTTATATTTATCTTTATAACAATAATAAAATTATTTTTAATATTAATTAGAAAAATAAAATTATTTATCAACTAATATATTTATATTTCAAGTAGTTATATGATATAAGTTATAAAAACTAATTTAATATAACACATATAAGTCATAAGTTACACATATTATTCTAAAATATATAGCAATATATTTTTTTTTTTGTAAAAAAGTAAACTAAATTTAATATATTTTTTAATTAATTTTACAATTTAAGAATAATTTTTTAACAAGCACCCGTGTAATACACGGGTGTTGTACTAGTTAAAGATTATTTCAGAGTTTTTCGATATAACCACTCCATTATGGATCCCTACCTATGATAAACAATAGATGTATTCGACCAAATTTACTTATGACCTTATCGACTACAACTCTTTAAAATCTTATAGATTAATCTATTCGTCGGCCAAGAACCTAAAGACAATAGTCTGATGGCGTATTCCATTGTTCAGACAACTTTCTCTTCTACGGCGACCGCCGCCCTATCTTCTGCTTTGATCTGTCGGAAAACGGTGAAACATGCTTCAACATTGTTCAGGTTTTCGTCTAGCCTGTTGAGCGTCAGATCTTACAATTCCCTTTCCACCAGAAAATCACTGAGTGAAACCTTATCACCAATCAATCATCCTGCTACGATGAAAACGATGAGTAGTAGTCTCCATACTAGTGTTCCTTACGATGGATCATTCAATTTGCCACCGAGTACCGCGCCGTGGCTATCAATAACCTCTCCATGGCTTATGTTGCCGCCAGCCTTCACCGGAAAGGGTGAGCTGGTTTATCGGTTTTACAGCCTTGGCGAGAACCAAGTGATGACTCTCGAAAGGGGAGACCGAGAATTCTGGCCAGACGACGGTTATAGCATCATTGGATCTTCGCACGGCTGGCTTTTCTTGTTCCACAAGAAAAGCTGCGCCCTTTTGCTCTCCAATCCTCTCTACGGCCGCCACGTAAGGCTTCCATCCATCCGCTCATTGCCGCATATCCCGAAAACCCACTTGGACCGTGGGTTGAGGTCACTGCATGACGTCATCATCTCCAGCTCCAGCCCTGATGATGATGACGAATGCCGCGCGGTCGTCACTTTCGGCCCCCACCGAAGACTGGCCTTCTGCTGCCCCAACTCCAAAGGCCTTTTGGAGTGGACTCTGCTAGGCGACAAGACATGCTACAATGCCTGCGTTTACTCCGCCAAACAAAAGCTCTTCTTTTGTTTGAGAGATGGATATTATGAACGTGACCACGAGGTTGATTATGATGATGATGATGAAGTGGAGGAGAATGAGGAGGAGGAGGATGAGGATCCTCGTCTGGAGGCTTGGGACCTCAGAGACCCTCATTCTCCAAGGATGATTCCCATGCCTGTGTCTTTTGATAAGAAAAACTACCCCATTGCCTACAGATCAGAGCAAGAGCACAAACAAAAAAAGCATCCCTCAATAAGGGACGTCATATCCCTTGCGGTTGCCGAGACAACGGGGCAGCTTTTTCATGTGAGACGGTTTAACAAGGAATGGGTGGGGGCCCATGGCTACTACGCCATGGATGAGTATTATGGCCCAAAGATAGGGCTCCGTAAGGCTCCTCCGTACACGACAGTTGGTTTCGATGTTCACAGGTACGACCCGGAGACTGGCTCCCTGGTTTACATGGACCGTTCTCTGGATGGGCTGGCCCTTTTCATTGGCTCTAATAATGGGTTTGGGCTCCCAGCTGCTGACTTCCCTGAGCTGACGCCCCACGCCATTTACTACACAGAACCCCCGAAATGGGATATCGATGAGGTTGACATCTTCAATCATGATGTTGGCATCTTCAGTTACAGAGACGAGACCTTTACGCCGTGCTTCTATCCTGTTGATGTGCAGAGCAGTGTACGGGTTAGTGGACCAAAGTGGTTCACCCCTACCCCGGTCGTTAGGTTCCCGTTTCTTGTGCAGAATGATGACGGCACATTGTCGTATGGATCCTCTTGTTCCAGTATCCCACCCACCAAATCACATTCCCAGAACTAGGAATCCAATTTATGTTTTCTGCACAAACAATAGTTCATATTTTGTTTTGGTTGTTTCAGATCACTTATAGCTCATGACTGTTATTTAGTTCCTTAGCATTTGCGTTGGTTATTTGATAGTGAAATCTCCAACTTAGTAATGTTTTTCTTATTATTATTTATCATCATTCGGTTGTTTCTCACTAAAATGTCATGAATTATTTGGTTATTAACAAAGACTTCGTTTGGGATTTCTAGCGAGTTCCTCAATATGATATTGAATTATTTGGTCATTTCAAAGCTTTTTTTTTTTCTTTGTGTGCGAGCATATGTAGTGAGAGATATACACAAAAGGATAATTTTATTGAAATTTATATTTACTTTTTTTTTTGGTGCAAAGAAGGAGGCTACACAAGCCTACTGAATAATCGATCGAGGATACGACACTCCAACTCTATCATGGTGCAACCAAACGCCAACACCCGAAATTTATATTTACTTTAATTGACCAGCTTAATGGAATAAGCTTATATAGTACAACATTTTTACTGAATAAAAAAATAAAATTAGGATACGAGATATAATGCAATATTATTGCCATAAAGTTAAAACTACTGTATAGATATTCACAAAGAATAATAATATTGCCTTTAAACTTGTATAGGTATAAGTAACATATGAACAATACTAATGCTAATGATGATTTATCATTTAGGAATCAAATCAATTGATAGGCATGAACAAGATTTACAGAGATAGCGATAAGATACTGGTTTATGTGGATACGATTCATCATAACGTAACATCATTATTTAGTGCCTTTAAACTTGTATAGTTACAAGAAGTAACCTTGCCTATGAACAATATACTACTAATGATACGATGCTATCATTAATTAATAAGGAATCAAATCAATCAATTGATAACTACGAGATAAGATACTGTTTTATATATGTTTACTTACTTGCATCACAAT